CATATGCAATAAATAAATAAATATTTAAGGTTACATATATAAGAAATAAAAATTGATTACCCTAAATCCAAAGTCTTCCTTAAACGTTTTTTCAGAAACTATACTGTTTTTTCTTTTTTTGTGTTTTTTAGAGGAAACGCTTGGAGTTCTTCCTCCGGAAAAGTCATTAACCAAGCCATGAGTTCCATCAGAAGCACGGTTGCCTATATCACTGGCCTGATGCTTGATCATTGCATTGTACTCATCATCTAACGCATTAGTGTTCAATGCAGGGAGGTCTGGTACACTAACGCTACCAATGGTAGATTGCGATACTTTATGATTAGTCTCTAAATCATCTATATTTTGCACAGTATTTTCTGTAGTGTCCAAATTACAATCATGCGCGAGAGAATTTGCATTGACCAGTGATTGTTGAGGTAGTGCAGTGATGGGTCTGGTTGTAGGGTTGGTATTTATACTGTTCGAAGTATCTTTCTTTTTAAACAAAGATAAAAAATTTTGTTTCGAATTCCTTGAAGGCTGGTTTGGAGAAATGCTTGTTGGAGAGGTAGATGTATCTTGTGGAGAGGAGGTTCGGGGAGAAGTTGGAGTAGCCTCAGAGGAAGTTGTTGCTTCGGCTTCTTCACTTGCAGGCGATGAAAGATAGTTTTCAAAGTTCAAGCTGCTAGGGTTGAACTCAAATTCGCCGTCCGTTGTAAAAATAGTAGCTGGTTCAGAAAGCGAATATTTTGACATTGTGATTTCGTGCGCTGCTAGCTAAATATATGAGAGGAAAGAAAGGTGAACTTTTAATAAAGTAGAACAGTAACACGAAAATCATTGCTTACCGTGTCGAGATAGATAACTTATCGCGAAGCATATAGACGTAATAAAGCAAGGAAAGAACAGAAAGAACACGCCTAGACAGTACAGTCGATTCCAGCTCGCAGTATTTTAGAAACTTAATATAGAGACAAAGAATGTTTATTTTGAATGTGTAAGATGTGTAGAAGTTACACCACAATATTAATAATTGTCACAATATATATGTGGTTTCACCAACATTAAAGTTAATTTTTTTTTAATTTGATGATAACGGGACAATAATAAATCTATGATGATTCACTATTGATATCGCTAAGATAGATTTATAGTTGATAAATAAACTTGTGTAAAATGCCAAAAATCGAAATAATTTATTCAGCAAGGGTATCGGTATGAATAAATATAAACTGGCGTACTTACGTATGTACGTACGTACGTACCCACGCAAGTACCTGCTCCCCTTTGGTTAGCACAACATGCACGTAATCATTTCACAAATATTTGTTATCCTGGCTAATCTAAATACATTAATATTATGTAAATGATGTATAGTTATTGGGTTTATTGTTTATTCGGATGCGATGAATGGTATATTAAACTTAAAGACAGATAAGTAAGTTATTGACGCGTAGCATTCAATTATAATATTATCCGATAACAAGTTATTAAAGTTATTAGCAGATGACGTAATTACTGCCAAAATAGGGTTAATCCAATCATAGAAAGTTTTCGGGTTTTCTAGTTTTGCTTTAATGGGTTCAACGAAATTCTTTATTGAACTCACCGAAGGAGTTCTTAGGTCAAAAATTAGAAATGTACCTTCAAATAAGCATCACCAGTCAAATGTATGTTATGTGCATACATACGTACGTACGCGTGTATGTGTCTTAGCTGTTAGTGAGATTAGAATTTAATCTCGATAGTGATTTTCAAAGTTGAATTACATACTTATGCGCTAGTATGTAATTTTACTCATTATGTAATGTTGGATCTTATTTTGAACCAGACGACTAGTATTGATTTTTCGATTCGAAACAACTCAATATATGTGGATCATGAAACAACATCCCAACATATAAAATTTATGTGGATCATGAAATAACATCTCGATAGATGTCGTGTAACAACAAGTTATTTGATATTATCCAATGAGTGTTAATGAGTATTATTGAGTGTCTATCTTTACCTTGGAAATAACGATAAATTACAAGTTTATTTTGATTAACGTTAAGTACTATTAATGCTTACCGTTATTGGAAACAAAAATTCACTGTTCCTTATTAGATAATCGAATATTCGGTTAAATGACTAATACCGTATTGACGAAATTTGCGAAATAAGTATTTCGTCAATTTCGTCACTATGAAAATAATTTCGTCACTTATAATTTCGTCAATTTCGTAATAATTTCGTCATTCGAAAATAATTTCCCATCTATACCGGGGTCTCTTACAATCTACACAGGATTTATACCGATACCCCCAGGCATATTGACGTCCAAAGCCTTTTTTGACATGTCTAAGCTTTGATAATTAAAAAATCTATTTTATATATTTTATATATTTTGTTTAATTCTAACCATTTTTACTTAGAAAGTTGAAATAGATCATCTTAACAAAATTAGTTGAAATAGATCACCTTAACATTTAAAAATGTCCGAACTTTGTCCAAAGGCTGTCCCATGACATCCCTGGAGGAGGGTATACTATACTGAGGGTCTTGTGTAAGGATCATATTATGAAAACAATGTTTTTATATGTCACATACATAAACATTTATCATTGTACTAAAAATACAGGTAATAGACCTGATAATATGCTTGGTGGGATACTCTACAAAGCGAAATACGGTGTTATTCTATTTTTTGTCTAAATAAGCTATTCAGGTTCGTGAATGTTTACTATTTAACTTCAATAATATTTATTAGTTCAAGTCTTAGAATTTTCACCGAGTTTAGATGACTAACTACTCAATCTTATTGTTCACTAAATTTTTTGGTTAATGCGTTCTAATGTGACAAAAGTTGAGTGTATTGAACATTCAATTTAATACAGACTATTACTCTATTATAAAGGTAAAAATCTCGTTCGATCGATTATCAAAAAAAATTTCTATTGACCATATCGTCTCTATACCGGGCGATACGGAGTTCCAGTTAAAACAACATTGTCGATATCGGCTTCAGCTTCACCTCAAAGAAAAAAAAATAAATAAATAAAAGTAAAAATAAAACATGATTTTTAAATTTTGCCGGCTGATGAATTTTCCTGCTACATATTATAAAATTCAAATCCAAAACGAGCCAACATTTCGTTATAATTAAAGAGCCGAGTCAATGAATCCCTTAAAAAGGGTTGTTTCTTGAACATTGCTTAGAAACAAGAAATTCTATCAATGCCATTGCTTAGCTGTTTATTATGCTAAATAGGTTAAATAAGACATCCCTGCTAGATTAGGGAGTTCCTCAAGTAAAGCTAAATCAGAATCAGTTTCTCTAAAGATACCAACTTCGTCTCCAGCTCAGCAAGGCAAAACTAACGTTCCTACAATACGCATTAGTGCACCTACAAATACGCAACATCCATTAAATCAAAGTTTAACATCCACTTGAGTGACATCACCCCCTACCAACATTGATAAAGAAAAATTAACCATACCGACCGCACAGACTTCAACTTCGCAAGAGGGAAGGCGATTACTATTGCTCAACGCAATCCACTTCTTCAACATAACAATCACAACAATTACACAGATTCAACGTTCTATAAATCAAAAATTTACACAAGATTATTGATTAGATTAACAAAGGAAGAAATTCAAAACCTACTGGTAATTTATTATAAATTAATTATCCTTATTTTAAAGACGTAAATTAATCAATTTTCTTTGTACAATGTGAACTTCAAACCTTTCACAACATTAACACCGAATTTTACATTGATTAATCATTTCGAAAAAAAGTTATTGACCTAGCAATTAATCATTTATTCGTATATACTATAAAATAATAACTGAACAGCTCCAGGGTGTAGGATAGATTTTCCGATCACATGATGCTTAGCCAATGGAGAGTCAAAATTTAATGTAACGTAACATGATCCGGTGTGACATGTAAACAACATCGGTTGCGAAGAAATTAACCATTATCTCGAAGATTCAACTAAGAAATTGCTTTTCGTGCTCTAATTGAAGTTTTTTTGAACAATTGTACTATAAAACTTGTTAAACTCAAATTCAAACCTCAACGAATCATTTAGTTGAAAATCAACTAGTTCAATTCCGAGATATTCCGTCTAGGCGGGCTAATTCATGTTGATTTCTTTAGTTTGATTGGCTAATCGACGAATTTAGTCACATAATATGAAAATCGATTAGTTGCAATTATGGTTCAAGTTAGGCTAAAGGCAAATTTTAATAAAATTCGCTTCTGTAACTTACAGAGACCATAATCAGATGCAAAGCCCTGTGAAAAGTTTAAGTGTAGTATAAAATCAGAATAAGAAGTTCTTGGAAGGAGACCAGGTCATGAAGTGTAGTTTTTTTTTACTTTTTTTTTTTTTATCTTTTTTTTTTTTTTTATCTTTTTTTTTTTCTTTTTTTTGGGGGTTTGTTGCCCTTAAAGATCATGCCCGCCACCACTGCCAGCAAGTAGATGAGCGACTTTTCGCTCAACATCAGCAGCTGTATGTCTTAGTAAAAAGGCTCGGCGAAGATGTAAAGGAGATTAAGGTGGAATTAAAATGCTAGCGAAGTGATGTGGAAAATGAACCTTCTCCGAAGGTCCTGGAAGTTAGTATTTCATGCAGTTTTGATAATGGTAAA